TCAATTCCGCTGTGCACTTTGGTTTGTAAGTTTTTAAATTGTAAAAACTTGAATTTGAAATAATTCAAGTTTTGGATTGAAATCCAAAGTCTTGTGAAATCAAGACTTCGGTGGAAAGGTTAGAGGCTTGTGAAATCAAGTTCTCGAGTTGTATTCGGATTGTTAAACTCCGTTAAGTTTAACAAGGATTAGTGGAATCTCAGGCACGTTTGCCTTGGGGACTGGACGTAGGCATTAGGCCGAACCAGGATATATCGTTGTCTCCTCGCTTTCATTGTTTCCGTTAATCTTTTATTTTTATTCCTGCGCTTTTTCTTCTTTAAACGAAAAATTTTATTATTTTCGTGAACACCTCTATTCACCCCCCCCCCTCTAGAGGTGTGAAAGGCGTCTAACATATATATATATATATATATATATATATATATATATATATATATAGTGAATTTTTAAAGGATTTTGGTGCATTTTGACATTAAGCATTTTCAAATCATTTTGGTGCACCTAATTTTGATGCAATGATGACCCTTCGATCTCACAATCTAAAGCACCAGATTCATTCTTATTTCTTTCATAAGATCGCATTCTCACCCGAAAGGAAACGAAGTTATATAGGGGTAGTAACGTTACCCTTCTTCTTTGGAATGGCTGCCACCACTACTTGACTGTCTGAACAGGGACTCCGCGCTGTGATAATTTGTATCTTTCACCCAAGCTTCTGCCAATATATATATATATATATATATATATATATATATATATATATATATATAACCCGAAAAAGAAACCACTAATCAGTGGAGTAAGGTTCAGGTCATCCTTACCAAGTAGATTAAAGCGGGGAATGTACAAAAAGCGTTTGGGCCAACCCGACAACAATGTTAGGAAAGGCCCAAGAAGGAAAAAAGCCAATTACAATCAAAGGAAAAAATACATCAGGCAATCCGCTTCTTCATTGGGAAACCTGCATGATCATCTGGAGAGGTAAGGTTTGAGATTTAGAGCTTGAATATCCTCATCTGTGGCTATCTTCTTCACCTTTTTATTTGACCAGTACCAGTGCTGCACTAATTTTTTAATCTCTATGATAATTCCCATATTTGTGATGTTGCGTTCTTCATAAATGCTTCGGTTATAAGCCTTCCAGAGATTCCATATGATGCATCCAGGTAAGATGAGCTTGAGTAGACTTCTAATAGTGTATTTGTTGTAATTCTCCCACCATAAGCATATAGTTGCTTAGGTCTGTGCCCTGAGACTAGTTAGGCTCCCATATATATATATATATATATATATATATATATATATATATATATATATATATATATATATATATATATATATATATATATATATATATATATATAGACACACACACACATGAGCGAAATAAGCATTTTCTTATTACTTAAATAAGGATCTATTTTTTTAATAAAAATGATTTTATATGAGATCTACTGAAATGGAATTTACCCAAGGTGCACCATAGAAACACTCTTTTTATTCTCAAAAATTTTTTTGCATTATGACAATATGACTTTTTATATAAAATTTCATTATACTTTTTGATACTATATTTGCACGGTTGGTATTATATATGCATTTTAACTCTTATTTAGAAAATAAAAATATGAAATTTTTGTTTTCATGCATTTTCTATGTTTTAATCTTACTGTAATCTCTTTTTCATTAGAGTTAATATATGAACAATGAAAACAAGTATATAAACATAAATTATGGAGAACACGTAATTTTAACTAAAACATTATTTGGGAAAGGGGATACTTTATTTATCTAAGGTTGTGTTTGATTGGGGGTAAAATAATTTTCTTGAAGAATATTTTCCAAAAAATAATTTCAAGGAAAATTATTTTTCAATCATATAATCCATTGTTTGGTAGAATAATATTTTCCTTTCACTAATGTCACCACACATGAAAATAAAATCAAAATTTTTCTAAAAAATATTTTACTCCCAACCAAATACACCTTAAAACTCGATTCAATTTACTTCTTCGTATTTGGATTCCATTTATGGTTTTGGGTTTTCAAACCCGTTGTACAAGGCTACTAGCATCACTCCCGTGCGTTGCACGGGTCATACATATATTACTAAATTAAGATCATTTTTGAAGGATACAATTTCTTATCTAATACTCCTTCCGTCCCTGAAACATCTTCTCTTTTCATTTTTTCTTTGTCCCACAAACTCTTTCCTTTTTCTCTTAAAAAACTACTTTTACCTCTTACTTTTTCATACACTACCTATCACATCATACCTTTTTTACTAATAATCTATCTATCACATCTTACTTTTATCAATTACATCAAAGGTATTTTTAGAAAGTCAACACCAAAATATTCCTCCCTTAATTTTCCAAAAAGTCAATAAGGGAACTTCTTTCGGGACGGAGGGAGTAGAATATAGATTTTATTATTTTAAGATACAAAAGTTAATTGTTTTACAAATAACGAAAGACTTCTTTATAAACTACATTTAAAACATTTAAAACATATATAATTTTTATATATCAAACTTTTAAAACATTTATTTATTTAAAGACTTCTTCATGATTTTCTACTCCGAAAGCATGAATCTTATTTAAGAACTCAAGACAGTGTAAGTCATTCAAAAAATTTGAAAGAGGCTAATTACGGAAAGTGATTGAGATTTGAGAATGACTGTATTTAAAGTATGAAAAAATTAAGTATTTTTCTATTTCCATGCATCTAATTTTTTCCGGGTAAGTTATTAATTAGTGATTGATTGTTCAACATATAAAGGTATATATTATTCAATACGTTTCCATGTATTAAAGGCACACCTCTTAAAATGATGTCTCCATAAAATGTTTGGGCCGGGATCTCTAAATGGAAAATTATTAAATTGAAAGCTTATTTGGTTAGAATTATTACACGATAATAATAACTAAGTACGATAATATTATTACACGCTATATTATTATTATTATTATTATTATTATTATTATTATTATTATTATTATTATTATCATTATTATTATTATTCTTTCACAATAATAAATTAATAATGATTAAATACATTAATATTATTGCACTGTATGTTAGTATTATGATTTTTCTACACGGTAATACATTATTTATTCTTGCTACAAAGTAATTTATGATTTAATTATTATTTCTATATTCAACACTTAACATATGTGCCACCATTTCTATGTATTACTTTGACATTTTTTTTATATTTAATTTCTTTGATTATTTTTTATTTTGATTTTTATAATTGTGCCTTCCTTAAATGCATAAACTTATATATTTAAATTTCTTCATAAAATATTTGGCACTAAATCTCTAAATGGAAACATAATTAAATTGAAAGTTTATTTTCTTAACATAATCACACCATAATAAATTTTTTTTTGACGGCACACCATAATAAATTAATAATGATTAAATATGGTAATATTAAGTTTGGCCATGTTCTCTGGATGGAAACATTTTTAAATTGAAAGCTTCTTAGATAAGAATTATTAGACGATAATAATGACTAAGTACGAAAATTTTATTACACAGTATATTATTACATTCTTCTTACATGGTAATAAATAAATAATGATTAAATACGGCAATATTATTGCACGATATACTCATATTATTCTTGTTACACGGTAATACATGATCTATTCTTATTATATAGTGATTTATGATTTAATTATCGTTTATTTATTCA